GATGATAAATCATGTGTAAACTTTCTCAGTTTAGCGGAATCATGAACATTTTCGGCGAGATGAATGTTTTGTTTACAGTAGTGATCAAGGCTTTGCGCACCTGTAGGAGCGGATCCAAGGATTTATGAATGAATAAAAACTATGGAAATAACGTACCAATTTTCTAATTTATACTTGCACTATCTAATGAAATTAATAATATACAAGTAATAGATATACAAAAAAACGCGAAATGCTAATAAATGCAGCTGACAATCGTTATTTTTTTATATAGATAAAATAAAATAATTATAAAATCTAGAGACAAGACAGAAGAATGAATGTTGGCAAACTATCAAATCACATCAGGAGAACTGAATTTTATGAATGAAACTTTTAAAACGTTACTTGTAAGTTATGCTATATCTGTGTATCTACCTGGCAGTGCGCTTCAAAAGGGGGGGGGTCGTCTTAAACATAGTACCTTACGTTTGAACGGTAAGGGCTAGGGCTTTCGTATTTCAAATATGTAATCCTTGTGAAAAGAACTTTTATTGGACACGAAGAACTTTGACCCTTTGACCTAGACCTTGGAGAACACATGTGTACATCTGAACCTTTTTTTCTGTTTCTTTTCTATGGCAACCGTGAGCGACTCATTACAATTATTTTGAAAGTAGAAATCACTTTGACACATTGCAAGGAATTAACATTGAAAGTTTCAAAACGATTGCTTGAGTAGTTATTGAGAAAATCGAAATTAAAGAATTTTAACATTCCCCAGGTTTCCATGGCAATAATCGATTATTTGAAAATTATAAATGCAAATCGCACAACTACAGATACTAATCATAAAAATAAAAGAAGTTTCATGACGAACGTTTAAGGAACCAGAGAGAACACTCGCGGACAAAATTCGTCGCTTTTTACAGGTTTCCATGGCAACGGTAGACATATTGGAACTGAACGACCTCACTGCACAACTACAACCAGTGATCGTCCTTTGAGGAAAGTTTCAGGAAGATTGTCCCACCCATCTCCGAGAAACAGCCTGGATAAAAAAAACATGCGTACAATATCAATATGTCGTCCCCGACTTCGTTCGGGGCGACATAATAATAAAAATAGTGGAAAAGAAACCTAAGAATAACAAGAAGGTCTTCCGCTGAAGACGGAAGACCTTAATAAGAAAAGTGAAAAAGAAACCTAAGAATCACTAGAAGGTCTTCCGCTGAAGCCGGAAGACCTTAATAATAAGAAACAGTAGAATCACTATAAGGTCTTCCGTGAAGACGAAAGACCTTAATAACTAGATGAGATCTCGTTGCGAGCAACGAGTAGGTCTTCCGTCCGATTTTTCAATAAGATGAGAATGATATGATTTTGACTATTATCTTTGTTAAAACATAATGATTTCAAGCTTTCTCTCTTTTGATGAAATCCTTTTGATAAAGATAACATTATCTAATAGTAATAGATGAAAGTCTTAGCCCTTCTAGACCCCTTATTTAAGGGGTCAGACCATTTGTCTTCATATCAAATGATAAGGCTCGTGATTTGAAAGATTTTTTGTTCAATAAGTATTCATAAATTTCTCTTCGTTTTCAAGCTATGTAAAATAGAAATATATAGGGGCCGGCCCTTCAAGTCCTTAATGTGGTCGTTTTGCAAAAATTGAATGGTTGTATATTGGTAAGAATAAGATTCTGAGCATCTTTTATTCAATACTGCTTATCGAGATCTAAAAAGAAGCAAATATTTAGCATCTTGCCCCTTTTTGGCCCCTTATTACGTAACATATGATCATGTTTTTACAAAATATTGTTTCAAATTGTTAAAATAAACATTTTTGCTTCAGAAATGTATAACAAATTCTTGATAGCTAAAGAGTTATAAATCAAAATGTTCTGGCCCCTCTATGCCCCTTATTTGAGGGGTCAGACCCTTTTTCTTCTTATCAAATGAAAGAACTTGTAATTCTGAACAACTTTTATTGTATATCCTTTAACAAATTATCTACTGGTACAAAGATATCAAAGAAAACGTATCAAAATTAGCGAGATATTTGTGAGTCTATTTTTCGAGCCCATGCGAGCTTCAAATCCTTTTGCGCTGGAAAGATGTAGACTCAAAAAAGCAATTCTACTATCCTTCTTCTATCTTCACTGAAAATCTCAACTCAATATCTTCATTCGTTTTTTAGTGATTGCCTGGACAAGCTGACCCTCTGAAAATCAGGAAATCGTCCATATCTCACGACCGGAAGTGACGACGTACATATAAAAAAATTTCCAATAAGGTTCAGACCAATATCTATCAGATCTGAAAGTTTCGTGAAAATCGACCAAGCCGTTTCCGAGAACTCGCGTGCACAAAAATCGGTAAGAAAAAAAAAGAATAATAGGGAAAAAGAAACCGAACAAAAACAATAAGGTCTTCCGTTGGAAACGGAAGACCTTAATAATAATAAGAAACAGAGTAAAAACAATATGTTCCCCAACTTCGTTTGGGGAACATAATAAGAAACAGAGTAAAAACAATATGTTCCCAAACTCCGTTTGGGGAACATAATAAGAAACAGAGTAAAATCAATATGTTCCCAAACTCCGTTTGGGGAACATAATAACGGTGTCCAAGTTGTTGCTGGTTCGACAAAATCGTCGTATCAGACGTGATTGAATATTTAAAGATATAGAAAGAATTCGAAAGACTGATTACTAGTATGTTGGGACCGTGAACGACAGGTGTAAGAATTATATATACCACTGTAATATATAGATTTCATTAAATAAAATGTTTGATAAGACTATGAAATTTTTTTGATGTGTTATCAAAACAAACGTAATATACAGTTTGACTGATTAATGATATTGCGCACTATTTCATTGAAAAGAGGTATTTATTTCTCTAAGCCCCCCCCCCCCCCCCCCGGAACCTCAACGCTATCTAAAAAATCATGGATTTTTGTATTATGTATATATCAGGTGGTTTCTACAGATGTTGAATCATTACACAGTTAAGGGGGATGTACAAGCCATATTGGATCTAGTCTGGTGTAAACGAAGAAATACCAAGAATGTGCTTAATACTCTACTAAACTAGCCCAAAGTTACTCAAAGTGCTAATGCACTAATTACCTACTGTTAGAGACCAAAATTAGTAAATAATTAAGTTTATTTTGTCTTAATTAGAAGGAAATTAATCATGTTAGAACTGCGCAGCTACAGCATTCATGAGATGAAAAATGCATTGAAAATGGAGTTAATTTGATTCATTGATAAAATGGCTACAACCATTTTTTTTCGCTTTTTTCTTGTCATTATCCATAATTCTTGAAAATTTGATTTTTCATATGGGTGTATTCCTGAGGCCATGTGTTTATTTCGTCCGCCATTCCTCTGTCACACAGAGTTCGAATAACATTGATTTTACAATAAATGCGACCATAATAACATCAAGACAAGAAATTACTAAGTAATAATCATTAGGTTATATTACTTGCTACTTTTATTTGTTGCATCGCATCGTCTGATTAATGAAAAAACGCGATTTTAACCCCACTACAGCAAATCGGGAAAAACTGTTCTGTTTACAGCTCGAGTTTCCTCATTAATATCATTCCACTGAGCACGTGGTTGGCATGTGCATATATCTGCCGTGGATAGATGCGTTTATTACCAAGATTATATTTAATTTTTCATGGAACAAGTCTTGATAATTTGTTGGTTTCTTTAAAACTCAAGAAAAAAGATAAAAAATGTCCTAAACATATGTGCTTACGTCGGGTCTCTTTTCTGTGGCGATAGAAGTTATTTTCAAATGGGGCACTGCAAGGAGGTTGCTTAGCATTTAATTTGAAAATGTTAAACAATATGCGGTGCATGAAAAACAAAGTGTAATTACATGTCTTACATTCGAAAAGTTGGTAAATATGTCTATTTTGTTAAGCAGTTAGATAGAAAAAATAGGCAGTTATAAGATTTCCTTCAGGCACCTCACATAAATAGCTAGATTGTTTGCAATGACCCACACATTGTATATGGAGTAATGTTCGGACATAAAAACGCATCATGTCTCATAATGTTGACAACGTTGTCAGCTCTCGCTCATTGAACATACGAAGCTTGATAAAATATATTGAGTTGTTTCTTTGAAATTTAGAAGCAAGCACAATGTTTGCAAAGAAAGGTCCATTGCATATGCTATGTCTTTCATCGAAAAAAAAGTGAGAGGCTAAACCAACCACCCCCCCCCCAAAAAAAAATCCTCTGTTTGTTTTTCAAAATAGTGCCAAAGATTCAAAATGTTTGCATTACTAAGTATGTGATGGAACATGTACTAGCCTTATAAGACCATTTGTTATAAAAATATTTGGTTGCCCTCTCTCCCGATCTACTGCCTAGAAATGGCCCGACTCAATTTTTTTTACATCCCATTACACAGTTTTTTTTTTCTTCCGTCAACAAATATGTTTTTTTCTTACCTATAAATACTGACCCAATAATTTTTCCCTGAGTTGGGAGGACCACCAAACGTCATTTTAAAGATGGTATAAAATATTTAATCATGTTTATTTTTTTTCTTTACTCTGTAAAATTGTTATTTTGACAAAATGGGCAAATAGAAAAAAGTTTTTTTAATTCATTAAATCTTCTAACCCACTCTGAATGATTTCATTCCTTTTCAAATGTAGCTCCGCTGTAATGAAAATTAAATGTTTATTTGACAGAGTATACGAGGGGTGATCAAAAAGTAAACGATATCTTAGGTATTTGATAGTCATATTATTGTTGAAATATTCAAGTATTTTTCAAAGTGTAAATTGGAGGTCTTTGATAGCATATTGCTTAATTAAAAACACATCCCTTTTCAAACTTGCTTTCACCGGGCAACATAACAAGTATCATTTTTAACCATCTGCCTTCCTTCACTAAAACGATCTATCCAATCATTGATTGAATTTATAGTTTTTTGCCTAGTGGAATCAACATTCATTTACTGCAATTGTTTTTTTTTTAGTTCATGGAGGATTTAGCGACTGGACGCAATGGTCAGACTGCAGTATGACGTGTGGATATGGGAAACGGCAAAGATACAGGGATTGTAATAATCCATCTCCAGCTTTTGGTGGTAGAACATGTTCTGGTAATTTAGTGGAAGGTGACGATTGTATAGTTAGAAACTGTTCAATAAACGGGGGGTTCTCGGATTGGAGCACATGGTCAGTATGCTCAAAAACGTGTGGAGGAGGACTGATGTTCAGAAAGCGATCCTGCGATGATCCATCTCCAGCTTTCGGTGGATTAAACTGCACAGGCAATTTTGTCGAATCTGTCTTGTGTCAAAGTAATCCATGTCCAATACATGGGCAGTTTGGGCCATGGGAGGAATGGTCCCCTTGTTCCAGATCATGTAACGGTGGGACCCAATCTAGAGTGAGGAAATGTAATAACCCGTATCCACGATATGGAGGTCAGAATTGTACGGGTGATTTTTCTGAAAGTAAAAACTGTAACTTGTTTGAATGCCCTATTGATGGCAGCTTTGGTGAATGGGTCAGTTGGACAGATTGCACTGTAAGTTGTGGCGGTGGACAAAAATCGAGAACTCGGATATGTGATTCACCGAGACCATTATTTGGAGGTAAAAATTGCAGTGGTAATTTTTCTGAAGAAACTGTATGTAATACTTTTCTCTGTCCCATCGATGGTTATTTTGATGAATGGGAAGCTTGGACTGCTTGTTCCCGTACTTGTGGTGGGGGAATTCAAACTAGAAATCGGGTGTGTTCTGATCCTAAACACGGAGGTCGTGCTTGTACTGGGCATTTTGTAGAATCCTTAAACTGTAACATCCAAAACTGCCCCATTGACGGAAAATTTAGTGAATGGGAAGCATGGACACACTGCTCTCAAACTTGTGGAAATGGAATAAAGAAAAGATCGAGATATTGTAATAAGCCAATACCAATGTATGGTGGTAAAAATTGCAGTGGGGAATATACAGAAGAGAGTGTTTGTAACATTCGACCATGTCCTATTGATGGAAAATTTGCAGACTGGAATGAATGGACAGAATGCTCGCAAACCTGTGGAAGTGGAAGGCAATATCGTAGACGTACTTGCTCAAATCCATCTCCGCAGTATGGCGGAAATGATTGTGTTGGAAATTCCATGGAGTCCATGAATTGTAACACATTTTCCTGTCCTATAAATGGTAGTTTTTCCTCTTGGGGTGATTGGAGTAGCTGCACTGCCAGTTGTGGCGGAGGAATATCAAAACGAGCAAGAAAATGCAACAATCCACCTCCTCAGTTTGGAGGTTATAATTGTTCGGGCGAATTTGAAGAATTAGTATTGTGTATGAATAATTCATGTCCGATAAACGGTGGATTTGGTGAATGGAGTGTCTGGTCTTCTTGCTCGATAACTTGTGGTACAGGTGAACAAACTCGTCAAAGATTTTGTGATAATCCAAAACCACAGTTTGGAGGAGAAAATTGTTCAGGCATATTTGAATATAAAAAAGATTGCAATACGCAGCCATGTCCTATTGATGGAATGTTTGGTGACTGGCAATCGTGGAATATATGTCCAGTTACTTGTGGAGGTGGAATAAGAAATAGAACAAGATTATGTGACTCACCAGCTCCATCCTTTGGAGGAAGAAACTGTGTTGGACATAATGTAGAAGAATCCAAGTGTAATGAAAATCCTTGTCCTGTTGACGGAGGTTTTGCTGAATGGAATGAGTGGTCACAATGCACTCGAAGTTGTGGCAGTGGTGTAAAGACTAGAAACAGAACATGTGATAATCCTTTGCCGCAACATGGTGGGGGGCCCTGTATTGGACATTTTATTGATTATAATAATTGCAATTTTCAACTGTGTCCAATTGATGGTGGTTTTAGTGAATGGGGATCCTGGTCATCTTGTTCTGTGAGCTGCGCAGGAGGTATCTCAGAGCGATTACGCTTGTGCACGAATCCAATTCCAAGATACGGGGGTAAAAATTGCTCCGGGAAATTTAATGAAACAAGGATATGTCAAACAAATTTATGTCCGATTGACGGTGGTTTTAATGAATGGAGCGCGTGGTCAACCTGCTCAAAATCATGTGGGCTAGGTTCGAAACATCGAGAGAGGCATTGTGATAAACCACTACCAAAGTATGGAGGAAAAAATTGCAGTGGTTTATTTTCCGAAAATGAGTCCTGTAACATTGGACCTTGTCCCATTCATGGTGGTTTTAGTAATTGGGGAATGTGGGGGGATTGTTCCACTACATGTGGTGGTGGTAAGAAAATAAGAGAACGAAGATGTAATAACCCAGTGCCTGCTTTCGGAGGAAATAACTGTACTGAATCATTTTCTGAGGATATTGAATGTAACACATTTTTTTGTCCGATAGATGGACAGTTTTCTGAATGGAGTGAATGGTCGATTTGTTCTGTTAGTTGCAATGTAGGATCTAAAAATCGAACACGTACCTGTTCCAATCCACGTCCTAGATACGGTGGAAAACCATGCAATGGACTTAGTACTGAATATGATGTATGCAACACTCATCGATGCCCCATTGATGGTGAATTCACGGAATGGGGAAGTTGGACGCCTTGTACAGTTACATGTGGCGGAGGTTTATCGAATAGAACACGTTTTTGTGCAAACCCGAGACCTCAGTATGGTGGCAAAAATTGCACCGGATTATTCAGTGAATCACAAATGTGCATGGAGAATCCGTGTCCTATCGATGGTGGTTTCAGTGAATGGAATTTATGGTCACAGTGTTCTACATCATGCGGTGGAGGATTAAAAATAAGAAAAAGGACATGCAGTAACCCTTCCCCAAAATACGGAGGTCTAAATTGCACTGGACAGCATAAGGATACGGAAAACTGCAACACATTACCGTGTCCAGTGGATGGTGGATTTGGAAATTGGGAATCTTGGTCTGTCTGCACCTCAAGTTGTGGAGGAGGCACTAAACGAAGAGAAAGGGAATGTAATTCACCTATTCCGGCCCATGGTGGAAGAAATTGCGATGGCAATTATTCTCAAGTATTACAGTGTAATGAATTTCCATGTCCAATTAATGGTGGATTTACTGAATGGACTGTTTGGTCTCAATGTTCGCAAAGTTGTGGAGGAGGTGTGAAAACACGATTAAGAACATGCACCAACCCACCCCCACAACATGGTGGAAGGCCATGTAATGGTCACTTTACTGAATCTCTGAATTGTAACGTTCATCAGTGTCCTGTTGATGGAAGTTTTTCACTTTGGGGTGCATGGTCATCATGTTCTGTAACTTGTGGTGGAGGAAAAGCAAAAAGATCCCGTTCATGTTCAAATCCATCTCCTTTATATGGAGGTAAAAATTGCAGTGGTGCCTTTGAAGAATTTACAAACTGCAACACACAATACTGTCCCATCGACGGAAGATATAATGATTGGAGTAGTTGGTCAGCATGTTCCTTAACGTGTGGAGGTGGCCTAAAGGCAAGATCAAGGCGATGCAATAATCCCTCGCCACAGTATGGAGGAAAACAGTGCAGTGGCAGTGATAATGAAAGTTCATCATGCAATGAACAGCCTTGCCCAATAGATGGTAAATTCAGTGAATGGGCAACATGGTCGACATGCTCAAGGACATGTGGCGGTGGCACAAAAACAAAGTCACGCGAATGTAATAATCCTATTCCAGCATTCGGTGGGGAAAACTGTACAGGGGCATTCCACGAGTCTTCCGATTGTAACACATTCCCTTGTCCAATTGACGGAGGACTAAGTATGTGGAGCGAATGGACAATGTGCTCTGTTAGTTGTGGTGGAGGTATTCAATTAAGAAACAGGTCATGTACAAATCCTGTTCCACAATATGGTGGGTTGGAATGTGATGGTGAGATGACACAATCACTCTTTTGCAACACACAAGAGTGCCCTATAGATGGACAGTACTCCGACTGGGAGTCTTGGTCTTCCTGCTCTGTATCCTGTGGAGGGGGTAATACAACACGCATTCGCAGTTGTAATAACCCTCTTCCACAGTTTGGAGGAAAGACTTGTATTGGTGAATCTGAACAGACAAAGACTTGCAATTCTGTTGAATGCCCAATAGATGGAGGTTTCAGTGAATGGAGTGTATGGTCAGAATGTTCCGTCACATGTGGGGGAGGTACGTCACTCCGTAGAAGAAGCTGTTCGAATCCAGCTCCACAATACGGAGGTAAACATTGCCTGGGATCTACGAATGAAACTAGAGTATGCAACACAGAAAGCTGTTCAAGTGAGTGCAATTTTTTTCAAGAAAACATTATTGCAAATCATTGTGTAGGTTATATACACCCTTTGTGATATTGATTCCCATTCATTATTTTAGTTTGTGCAAATCCTAGTTCTGAATTCGAATGTCATAACAAAGTATACTGCGTTGATAAATCATTTGTCTGTGATGGCTACCCTGATTGTACTGATGAGAGTGATGAATCACAGCAGGCCTGTAAGTAAAGATTTCTCAAAAGTTCTATCATCTATTACAATATTTGCAAGGCATTAGGGAGAATCGAAATATTTGCCAATTCAAATAACTAGTTTTGTTGTTGCAATATAACTCTGTGCAGAACTCCACAAGTATTTCACTAACAATGTGAAGGCGCTTTCCATGTTGAGAAATTTAAATACACATACTTCATAACTATAACACCACATCAAAAGAATTACCCGGAATTTGTGGAATAACAGATAAACAGACAAAACGAATTACAAATTGATTATGATTGATTATTACTATTCAGCGCAGAGTCGGCATTATTTCATTTACTAGTATACATCGGCAAAATAGGACAGACGAAACAAATCTATATGCTCCCGAATCTTTGATTAATACAGAAGCACAGAAAATTCAAATCATTATGTAATACATTTAATTTTTGCGTAATTTTTTTTCTAGATTTCTGCGTAGAAGGGAAATCATTTAAAATCATTTATCATTTTAATGTCCCCGTTTTCGTAGTTTTGTCTGTTTGTTTTATGTTTGTTATAAAAACATTATTCCTGTCAAAAACGTTTTAATGGTTTAAATAAGGGTTTTCATATTTACCCACGACAAGAATTTCTGAATTTCTTCGGTACCTACATGTACATATTTGATCTCTTGATCTTGACCGTTTTGCATCTTTTTTAAAAATTGTTACCGGTTTACTTTATCATAGCCAATACTTAATCACAGAAACCTCGACTTTGACCTTTAAGTTTGACCTTTTTGAAAAACTTTCCTCTTTGCTATAATTTTGGAACGTGCCACTTCTACATTTCATCATATATAAGTTTCTGGATACAAAATCTTTCCTTGGTTTCCAATATTTTGACCTCTTTAGATGACTATATATATAGTGACACATAAAAACGTTAACATTTTGATATAAATTTTGAACATTGAACATTTTACATAAACAATATAAAATATCTAACAACCCACACGCACACGACCCGCCTCTCTTTCATTCTTTGAAATATCTATCAAAAATTATTTTTGCACATTTGATCTTTAAAAAATTACCTTCAATCTCAGAAAAGCCTGGATTGCTTAAAACGTTACAAAAATCCAGTAATCAATGTATAATGCATTAACTTTTATTTGCAAGTATGAAAAAGGCAAATTCCCAAGGAATCAAATAATTTAATTTCTCATGGATTGTACAAAGGAATGTACTTAATCACATCCTTCCAATTATTATGCCCCCTTCTAATAAGGGATCGCATATTGCTTTGTTACCGTCTGTCGGTCGATTTTTCTCTCTGTTGCTCCACCAACGTTCCGTTTATTTTCCTCACAGAGTTTGCACCCACTGAAAAGAAATTTGGTATACATGCAGATTTAACATAAGAATATATCTAGGTCAGTTTTGTTTTGGGTACGATCGAGCAATATTTGACGGAAGTATGTCCTTAGGACTTGGAAATTCCAATTATTTGCGGCTTCTGTTCTTTTTCTTTGCAGAGGTTGCATATACTGAAATGAAATTCGGTAAACAGATTTATCATAATAATATCAAGGTCAAGTTTTGTTTTAAGTAGAATCGACATTTTTTGAGCTATGCCTTTTGATGGGAGGGGGGAATAAGTGTTTCACAAAAATCTCTTGTTGGATATGTTTTGAGGATACTTTTCGATAAGAGCGTCCTCCAGACTCCCTCTCCCTACATATTTGATCCTCATTAGAGGTCGATGCTGTTTTAAGTAGTTCGCTTACAGGCATAGTAGGGGGTAGCTAACTTCGAAACTTCAAAACTGGCGTAGAATTAAATTTTTGACATGGAAAGCGACAACACGCCATGAAAGTGGAATTCTTATGTTCTGTTATATGTTTTTCTTCTTTTAATTCTTTCTTTTTTTGTGATTTGTAAATGTTATTCTTAAAAATAAATTTCAATTAGCTTGTCAAAATTTGAAACATTATGATTTTTGAACTTTAAAATTTTTTTTTACAGGCAATCCCGAAGAAAGCAAAGTCGCATTACCACCCTGTCCCGAAGGCTTGTTTAGATGTCCTGATTTGTCTTGTAAACAAAGTCAGTTTGATTGCTAGTTCTCTTTAAAGGAGAACTTTTTATAATTGCGAAAAAGTTTAGTGAATGATTTTTGTGAAACTTTATATTGTATAAACATTTTAACTCACCTGAGCTGAAAGCTTAAGTGAACTTTGCTGATCAACCGTTGTCCGTCTGTCTTTCTCTTAACTTTTCACATTTTCAACTTCTTTTTGAGAACCACTGGGCCAATTTTAACCAAACTTAGTTAGAAACATCCTTGGATAAAGGAAATTTTAGATTATAGAAACGAAGGACAACGTCCTCTAGCATGGGGATATAATCAAGAAAGACAAAAATAGGGGGTTTGAGTAATTTAAATTTTTTTCTCAGGAACTACTTCAGAAAAGCTGAAACTTTTGTGGAAACATCCTGGTGTGGAGTAATTTCTTAATTGTTCAAATCGTGACCCTTGGGGTAGGGTGGGGCCAAAATAGGGAAGCAAAGTTTTACATTGATATATATATAGGAAAAATCTTGATAAATCTTCTCAAGAACCACTGGTCCCGAAAACCTGAAACCGGAAGCATTCTTGGGTAGTGTAGATTCTAAATTGTACAAATCCTGGCCCATGGGGGTAGGGTGTTTTCACAATCGTTGTTAAAGAACAGCATGAGCAAAGTTACTCAGGTGAGCGATATGGCCTATGGTCCTCTTGTTTTTTTCAGAATTTCTTGAAGAAGTAATATTTTGCTTTCAATTTAAAACAAAGTCAGCTTTTAGTATGCATTCATTTTTTTTTTAAAAAGTCAGAAGTATCTTGTATAAAATGCAAGTTTCATGTAATTATGACATTTATTTGTTTTAGTTTTGAATTGTGTTCCAAACAAAACTTCTGAGTAGATAGAAATCAAGCGTTATTTCTCCTGTAATTACATTTCTAGCTCTAATGTTGGTAGGACAGTTTCCAAGCCATAAACTGAGAACGGATTTAAATAAAACTTCCGATGATCATTACTTAATTTCAATTTAAGAGCATCTTTTGAAAATTCAAATGAAAATATAAATATTGTTTAAATCATCTTTAAAATTACTTTACTATGCTGTAAGCGTTTGAAATTTTGACTTCAGTCTGATTCTTTTAACCGAATAGGTGCTGGTCAGTTATTTTTTAGAAATGCATGTATTCAATGTTAACAAGAATGTACAGTGCTAGTGTAATTTGGAATAACACTACACTAAAAAAAAATTATTAATAATATTATGTAAATGTTTTTATAGATGATTTAGCTATAAATACTTGAACAATAGTATTACATGGAAACCTTACCATATTTTACTTCAAATCTGTAATCAATACAAATTTCATCTGATTATCCATAAAATTTATAGGCCTATGGTATGCAGGCACGGCTACTTAGTACACAAAGCTTAGGTTTTATTCTGTTTCTTTATAGCATTATGATTTTGATGAATAGTTATATTTAATATCTTCCTAAAATACTTCTTGGTTTTTATAAAACAACTTTGTACAGGATTAAAAATGTATCAATTAACACATGTACATCAACCAACAGTGTGCACATCTCCGGAATTTTAAACAAAAGAAATTTTTCGAATTTGAATTAAGCTTTTTTTCTACGACTACTATTAACCAGTAGAGCTACAGTTTTCAAGCTGTGCAAGTTTTGTTTTAATGAATTAAAATTCAGTATATATATTTTGGCTTATAGTTGCTTGTTTATGCTACTTAATCTTACATTAAACATATTAAATTATTCTTTATATTAAAACATCCGGTTTGTTACATCATCAAGAGCACGATAGAGAGTTGTTATTTAAAATTTCATTGCAAAAGCTTCTCGAGATATCGCTCGGAATCTTAAGTGTTACAGAGAGACGAACGGACGGGCAGAGGTTCGAAATTAAAACCCTTTACTTTCAGTGAAAGCGGGGAAAAAAGATGCATGTAGCATTCATGCTTTTACCACGACATTACCAGACTTAATTTTTTACGACGATTACAAATGTTCACAAAATGTTCATTTTAAACAAGCAAATTCAAAGAATTGTGGTCTGATTTCGGTGTTTTTGTGGGTGAGATTTTATTATTATTTTTTTTTTATGAAATATTGTGTCAATTACATGTATGAATGCCCTATCATGTCATTTAGAAATTATCACAAGTTGATTTTGTTTTTAATAAGGTCAAGGCGTCAGAAATCATAGCATGCTCGAAAATATCTTGTCACAGTTAATGCACATGTCAAATATGAAAGCCCTATCTCTTCTCATCAAAATTTATAAGGAACAAGACAGTGATTATACTTTTCTGAAATGCAAATTAAATATATTGGTTTCCAAAGTAGGGTCTTCTTACAAAAATACGATTGTAAAATATGAAAGCCCTAGAACCATCTGTTCAAAAGTTATGGCCAAGGATATTATAATAAGTTTGAAAGGTAGGTCAAACTCCAATGTCAACGGGTCAGAGATGTTGGTTTCTTAATAAGATCTTTTCACATGTATTACATATTTGAAGTATGATAGTCTTAGCCCTAACCGATCAAAGTTATGGCCAAGGTTAAAGTTTTTAAAAGTAGGTCAAAGGGTCAAATTTCTAGATATTCAATGAAAGATCTTGTCACAAGGATCAAATATGAGAAGTATGAAATTCCTAGCCCTTACCCTTCAGACGTTATGGTCAAGGTTTGTTTTAAAATTAGGTCGTACTCCAAGGTCAAAGGGTCAAAGTTCTCGGTATCCAATAAAGTTCTTCTCACAAGGATTACATATGTGAAGTATGAAAGCCCTAGCCCTTATCGTTCAAAAGTTTTAGCAAAGGTTAAAGCTTTTTTCATAGGTACGGAAATCGTCAAGGTCAAAGTTCTTGGTATCCAATGACAGGTGTTTCCACAAAAAATACATATTTGGAATATGAAAGTCCTAGTATTTACCGTTCAAAAGTTATGGCCAAATTAAATGTTTTGGCCAAATTAAAGTTAGAATTTTTGTGTAAAAGAGGGTCAAACTTCAAGGTCAAAAGGTCAAATTTGGTGGTACCCAAAAAAAGTCTTGTCACAAGGAAAACACGTGCATAATCAAAAGTTATGGATAAGTTTAAAGTTATTGTGACGGACGGACGGACAGACTGACTGACGGACAGAAGAATGAGATTTAATGTCCCTTCGCTTTCGCGAAAGCGGAAGACAACAAAATAGCAGAGTAATCTTCTTAACTAAACTCAAAATGGTTAGAAATGATCTATAAATAATATATAGAATACTAGATGTGTTTGTGAAACATAGATGCCCCCGTATAGCAAATAAGCGAAGATTTAACTTTTTTAAAATTCAAATTAAATATATCAGTACCCAAAATAGGGCCTTCTCACAAGAAATATGATTGTGAAATATGAAAGCCCTGGTACCGCCTGTTCAAAAGTTATGGTTATGAAAGGTAGGTCAAACTCCAGGGTCAAGGTCAAAGGGTCAAAGTAAATGAATTCTTAAGAAAGGTCTTATTACTTACGTAAAGTATGAAAGCCCTAACCCTTCAAAAATTATGGCCAACGTTAAAGTTTTTAAAAAGTCCAAGGTCAAATGATCAAATTTCTTGATATCAAATCCTTGTCACAAGGATTAAATATATGAAGTATGAAAGTCATAGCCCTAGCCCTTTAAGTATAGTCAAGGTTTGTTCGTTAAGAGTAGGTCGTACTCCAAGGTCAAAGGGTCAAATTTCATGGTATCCGATGAAAGGTCTTCTAACAAGGATTACATATGTGAAGTATGAAAGCCCTAGCCTTTTCTGTTCAAAAGTTCTGGTCAAGGTTAAAGTTTGTTGATAAGTTAATACGGAAATCTCCAAGGTCAATGTCAAAGTTCTTGGTATCCAAAAAAGGTCTTTCCACAAAGAATACATATGTGAAATATGAAAGTCCTTGTAGTTTCCTTCAAAAGTTATGACCAAGGTCAAAAGGTCAAATTTGATGGTATCCAAAAAAAGTCTTGTCACAAGGAATACACATGTGAAATATGAAAGTCATGGCTTCTCTTAATCAAAAGTTATGGGCAAGGATAAAGATTTTGCAGACAGAGAAAGAGAGACAGACAGCTAGACAGACGACAAAAACTATATACCCCCGAGTCTTCGATTACGGTGGCATAATTATGTTAATAAATCAAAGTCAAGGAATCCCTGCAGGAAAATCATGATCCCAACAGGCACGTAGCATCGTTTTTTTGAAAGTGGAGGGGGGGGGGACCAGAGAAATTTTTTTACTTACTTGTAAAAGCTGACGAGCAAAAAAAAACTACCCAAACTCGAAAATCATTTTTCGGGGGGGGGGGGGGGGGGGGGGTAGTGGCCAACTTTTTTTAAGGCCAACTTCCTTTCACGTCCTATTTTTTGGCATACTATACTACATTTCCTTGATATCACTATAATTTGGTTAGAAGGGAGGGGGCCAACCAACCTTTCAATGGACATTTTCCATCCCCCCCCCCCCCATCGCCCTGTGTTGCTACGTGCCTGCCCAAGTAAGAAACATCTAATATGTACATATTTCAAAAAAATTACAGATAGGAATATTTTATAGCTTTAATACAGTTCAAATGCAGCCAGTGGAGGGCTGCAAATATCTTGACCTATACATGGCACTTTAGGCCAATGAGCACTGAGAGAACTTTTTGTGTCAGCATCTACTGCGACAAGAGGCTCAATTTATACACATATCATCTCCTTAATCCACAACTCTAGTGTAAACGTTCTAACAACTGCACCAAGCAGGCGCCATGCTTAATCAGGAAACAAAAATAAATTCAAACATATCAAATGTCAGATCTACCATATTACACTGTAATAAAAAACAAATGACTGGAAATCATAAAATGCATTAAGAGGTATTGCAAAATACTGAAAGATTAGCCAGGATTCTTTAGTTGAAAAAACACAGGCTTCTCCCTCCTTTAAAAGGTACTCTCCATGTCTGCTTAGCAAAAACGTCTGAAGTATCCAACGCCCAAGATACGATACAAACAATATAACGTGAATTGACAGGGAAACCACGGAGTTTCTCAGAATGTTAGTTGGGATCCTTCTGACAAGGATTATGTATACACTGTGATAAAATGTCAGGAACAGATGGAGGATATTTTTTGTGAATATTGTACCCGATCTTTCCACGTAACACGAAATAGCGGAGACGCTTCCTATTATATTAAGGACTACGATCCCGGCCATACAACACAGGAGAACGCCGTCCCAGGTCGATACTGTCAATTTTATGGGAGAGGTACTGTCAAACTTATGGATTCCAACGAGGACAACGGTCAATGCTATCGCTAGACAAACAATAACGGAAACATCCCATATTTTCTTCACTGTGATAATATCATTAAAGTACACAAATCTCATCAACACGGACATGGTAAAAAATGGTGCAACCAAAACTATTCCAATAAAAAAGCAGATGATTTTGACATTCTTCAAATTTTGGCTATTGCTTATTATTACTTGGTCGTTGTTTTCCGTTGTCGAATCACCGTCTTCCCAATTTCTGTCAACTCTTAATCGTTCGATCCATGATTTACTTTCGACTGAAGGCCATAATTTAATTAAAAACATAGATGATATCAGGAGAAAGAGCATACTAACAGTTAGAAGAAACGGATTCAGAAATGTCGATTCTTTTTTAATTTTAGAATGCCAGTAACAATAATCATAAACAGTAGCATTTGGAATGGTCATGGAAGAATTTATATTTCCAAAAGTGTAAATATCCACAATTTGTAAAGTTACAAAATTGATCCATATGCTTAAATTGACTAGAAGTATTACAGCAATAAGATAGTTTGTTAGAATAACACCTTCCAATCTTGAATTTCTTAAATAAGTAATGGCGCCCATTTGCAACAACATGAATGTTATTTTAGGTAATGTATAAAATATTTCTTTAATCCCGTCGGAAGTTGTCTCGGAATTGACAGCGACACAATCAATGATTGTTGCTAAACTAATTATGGTGCGAAGAAGAACGCCAAGACCAGAAAACCATAAGAATACTAACTGCAGGTTAGTACTTTTCTGTTGAAATTGCTGTCTTCGAACAATGTCCTGAGATCTGCAGAAAAATATTAACACAAGAAGAATCGTTGCTCCCACTGTTCCTGCAACCAATAAACTCACTAACATCCCAACTAATATTTTACTTGCAAAAAGATCACCTCTCGGCTGAGCAGAAAAACTTCCGACGGTGACTAATAAGACAGCTGCTGAGCAGGCGCAGAAAACAGTTGCAGAGGTACTTCCGTCCGAATTAACAGTGGCGGTCGGATTTCCCAAAGAAAATGGAACAATGAACACGAAGTTTAGAAAATTTGAAATCTTCCTTCTACAATTGTCCATATCTGGAATAGAAATAAAAACTCTAAACTGTTCAACCTTTTATCCTTAATTAAATTAACATAATTGTAGCGTTAAACCTATAAACATCCCTAAAATCCATTGCAATCATTTAGTTTATCTTTTTATGATAAAAGCTGATGAAAGCTCTTCGAGCATAAACCAATCAACTTTTGAAAAAACAGGGGTCTTGTAAATATATCTATGATGCGTCATTTCAAATTTAATAACAGGTGTTACAAATTATTTCAAGAGTAAGTTTCCACTCATTAGAAATGTTCAAGAAGGGTTGAAAGGATATTATTAAAAGCAGCG